ATTTCATTAGGGTCGTCAAAACACTAACATGGAAAAATATGCACTAAAAAGTGAACAATATGTAAACCTGACAAATAACTGCTAAAAAAATATTCGTAAACTAATTAACGCACTCAAGTAGGTACCCAGTAATTTTTCCTGATTTAAACCATCATCTCTGCACTATCTCAAAGACATATGTGCCATTGACAAAAGTACTAATTCTTTTTGTTTAATTATATAAAGATCTGTCCATTCAATTTACTTTTTAGTGCAATTTTGTTGATCTGGTGACTAATAAAATCATTTACCTTAATTAATGTCTATTAAATTTATTGATAACTTGAATAGCAACATTATCACAGTATTATCATTTATGCGTAATTATTACAAGACTTTTTTCTTGATAAGTTTTCGCAATTCAATTCCTCAAATCACAGTCAGTGACCTCAAACATACTAAATCCAAGTTTGAAACAAATCGGCTCATCATTACAAAAGTCTGCCAACTTTATTTTTGTTAAATTCAAGTTAAAACTCATATTTGGCGGCCTTAAACATCCCCAAGTTTAGGACAATCGGTTCATTAGGAAAGTCCGCCATTTTGATATTTTTATGTTTAGATCAAAAATTGTATTAAGACCACCAAGTTTCTAGTTTGAGACAAATCGGTTCTTAAACGGAAAAGTCTGCCATTTTGATTTCCTTGATTTTTTTGTCAGAAATCACAATCAGCGACCTCAACTCAACAACCCCCAAGCTTAAGTAAATTTATTCATAAGTATAAGAATATAAGAAAATATTAATTAATATTACACACAACAGTGAAATGTGTCAAATTCTTATAGGCACCCTGGATTTAAAAAGAAACCGAACTAAATTGGAATGCCCCTAATAATAATAATCTTAAACTAACCATTTAACTTATACGATTAACCTAAACTTCTAATAACACAAATTTAATTGGAAAGTCCCGATTTAAATTAAATTTAGACTAATGTTGGTCACCTAAGCTAATGTATGTACCTAAATCTAAAAAATACTGAAATATTTTAAACAAAGAACTAAAACATTGATCATGCGAGAATGTATCAGAAAGTTACGATATTAGGACAATAATACAAAAAAAAAACGTCTTATCAACTTTTCATAAAATCCTAAAAAGCTATAACGTCAACACGATAACTCTAGAACGAAAGGTCTAATCCACTTGAGGTTTTGAGTTTTCTTTAAAATTGTTTTCTATTGATTTTTAGAATTTTTGGTTTAACTTTAGTGCTTTAAATATCAGTGTTTTTAAAATGTAATGCATTTCTTATGGAGCTTATTTTATGCACTGCGGCACGGGAACTGATTTCACTAGATAACCGTACTTGCCAACTATGAAACAACATTTTTTCTACAGGACAAGTCTATTTGGCGACAATCTCCATCATTTAGTGATTCGTTTTTTACTTGTTTTAATAGGAACAGGCACATATTTTGTTTTTTTTTTTTTTTTCTTCGAAACGAAGCTAGATACGAGTAAAGCTCAAGAGGTAACAAATTACCATTATTGAACGCTTAATCTAAAAAAATTTAATTGTCAAAAAAGCAGTGCCGTACCATAATTTTACCTATAAGTATCAAGTTGGTAGCCCCCTCAGATGCCACTGGAATTATTAAATTTATTTTACACTCGCCAAAAGAAGGTCCTTATGGCAACAAATAAGCCTGTTAAATATTTAAATCGGCTGAAAGGTTTTTGAGTAATTGATAAATAATCGATTTTTTTTAACAAACTTTGACACCCTGTATCTATAAAACAAAGCAAGTTAGGACATACGATTATATGAAAAAATTTTCTTATTTTTGTCTGGTACATACTTCCTTGCACTTAATTTTGAATCACTCTGTATATTACTGTCATGTTTAAATGTTAAAAGCCCGGAAGGCGACACGATATAGCTAAATGGCCTTTGGCTTGAGGGATGGATGTCGATCAATGGGCTTTATTATTTATTAACACACGTATTGCATACAAGATTTTATTTTTAATAAAATAGTTATTAGTTTACCAAGACCGTAAATATCGTGCAACCGAAGTGCACACAACATTATTTAGGCGACTGGTCTCATCAAGTAAGTCCAACATTTGTTTTAAAATCTTGTTCCTGAAAAAAGACTTAAATGCTAGAATTTTCAAATTTTTATCGAACCCATTGTTAAGTAACAATGATTTGTACAGAATTAATAATTATAGTAGCCAAAAAGTGATACTTTAGGGATATCAGTAAATCCGTAAAATATCATTTTGTGAGACGATAGCCCAATATTTTTTTTAAAAAAAGGCCAAATATTTTTTTATAAAAATCATTTTTTTTTTTTTTCATAAAATATTTTTTCTAATATGCAAATGGTCGATGACATTTAGTGATTGTATTTGTCAGACTGTGATCTTTCATACTTAGTAACCTCGTTCATTACTGCTAGCTTTAAATATCGTTATAATTAATAAATGATTTTGGTAGCTTTTTTTTAATAATTTATTTAACGTCGGCCTATTTCTAACTACGAGGTTTAAACTCCGACACTGGTGAGCACGCTACCTTAATTACCAAAAATTTAGCCAAATCCTTTGACGTTCCAACCAGGCGTAGAGATCTCTAACGAGCCCAACATGCAAACTCGGGACCGATGGCTCTACATCTAATCCGAAAACATGGTACATCCCACGTATTACCTCGTTATCATTGTTTTCTCCGAGCAGTTTGATCGGAAGTACACCAACTTTAATTGAAATTGTCACGCAACTACTAAAGTCTAATCAGATTTCATTTACGCCGCGTCAAAACAATTTCTCCCATCCAGCAACAGCTCACGTGACATTTTTTTGCGCTTCTATTGGTTAATCGGTCGTTTGTCATTTAGACGTCTCGCAAATATTTTTGTCAGAGTCGAATTCAGTTCAATTTGGATAATTATGAACGTCGTTTTGGTAGCATTCACCGTGTTGGTTAGTTTGGACATTTTGTATGTTTGATTGATTATAATTTATTATATTATAGTTTAGATATACATATATTGTGTTATTTTGTTTTTGTTTTTGTGGTTGTTGTTATTTTGAACATGTTTTACTCTATTTTATGGACATTTAATTGACTATATTCTGTAATTGCTGCGTGACACTATGTCCTCCACAGATATAGCAGATAAAGTCCAGAAAAATGTTGTTACTCCTTCTAAAAAGCGACTGAAAAAGGGACATTTGGTCATCCGTACTAAAGAAATGGTTCTTATTATTTATAAGCATTACATTTTATAGAACCCTGATATGTTGGTACATAATGTTGAAAGGAGAGTTGTTGATAAAACAAGGATGTGCGCTAAAACCGTTTTTAATGTTATGAAGGAGTATAGGCAGATTCATAAATTTTCTGAACCAAAAAGAAAGCTACGTTATAAATAAATTAGTGGCTTTGTGGATGATTTTGATAAAAATGCAATAAGGCGCAAATTACATCAATTCTTCTTTGGAAATTAACTTCCAACAATTGATAAGGTTTTATAAGAAGTCAACGATGATCCATATTTGTCTACTTTTAAGCGAGCTACATTTTACAAGCTTTTCAAAACCCTTAATTTTAAATTTAAAACTCAAGGAAAAAATAGTTTGCTTTTAGACAAAAATGAAATTGTTTCGTCCTACGCCACAAAAAATAAAACGGTACAGAGAAGAAAAGCAAAAAATATATTATCTTGATGATACTTGGATTAACGCAGGCCACACCAAATCAAAAATATGTTTCCATATGTCGGTTTTTTCATCCAGACAAGCCTTTTTGGATGAACTTTTAACTGGTTTTAAAAACCCATCAGGTATGTGCATAAAAACAGCTCATTATATGCCATATTGGAAGTGAAGAAGGCTTTGTCTCTAATGCACTTTATGTATTTGAGTTGAAAAATCCGGTGACTACCATGAAGAAATGTGTGGAGAATCGTTCAAAGAGTGGTTTTCAAACAATCTACCAAAATTAGAAGATAACTGCATTATTATTCGAGAAAGCTGGAAAAAATATCTACGACGTCTAAAAAAGGTGATATTTAAAAATGGCTATAAGGGAAAAAATTGAATTCAACTACCAAATGCTTAAGATCCAACTTCTAAAACTTGGTAAGCAACATAAACATTATGATAGGTATGTAATAGATGAAATGGCTAAGCAGCAAAACAACATAATACTTCACATGTCTCCGTATCATTGTGAACTTAACCCTATTGAATTAATCTAGGTTGACGTTAAACAATACGTAGCAGATAAAAACTCAACATTTAAATCTGGAGACATTAAAATTCTTTTTGAAGAAGTAATTTTATTAATTTCTCCAGAAAAATGGAAAAAGTGTATCGACCATGTTCGCCAAAGAGTTGAAGTAAAAATGTGGGAGTTGGATAATATTATAGAGGTTCAGGTAGAATCACTTGTAATTTTGATTAATGAAGATAGCCTTTCAAGTCTAACTAATTTATCCGATTCAGAATAGTGCTAAGTCAAGTAAGGAAGATTGCTATAATACAGGGTACAAGTTGTCTAATCTAAATACTAGTAGAACAAGAACAATAAAGAACAAAAGTTATCAAAAATACAAAAGGTTTCTTTTTAAGATGCACTATTTTAAATCAAATACCAAATACCTCTTATATTTAAAGTTTTTTTAATGCTTTTAGTAGATATATATTAGCTATTAAAGAATTTGCAATTATTTGGACACCCTGTACAATATAATTTTATAATATGATTGTTTTAATGCTCTGTATCACAGTAGACATATGTAATGAACCAAATATAATGCAACCATCTCTTTTAAAGTCAAATACATTTATTAATTTGTATTGCAGGTTAACGCAGTTTATGTCGCTCACCTATCTTCTTCCAGAAATGTCACTAAAGTCTGGGAGACCGTGTATGGCATTTATTTTATAGTTTTACTTTACAAAATATGTTTTTATCGTAATAAAAAAATAATTTCACAATTACACTCTTTTATTTTACATTTTTGCAAGACGGAAAAGTAAAATACGGCCCTGCTCAATTTTAGCGTCCACCTGCTTCTGTTTACATCAGGCGTAAATTAAATTTGAATAGACAGACAGTTTAAGCAAACATACGCTAACCATCCGCTAACGTTACCTTAGCGATATACTGTAATCTACTCCTTTGTATGGCCAAGCTTCACTACAGGTATCGATAAACAATCCGTGAACCTGCTTAGTCGGGCCGCTGCTCTGATTTTGATAGTTTAAGAACATTATTTTCTTATTAGTTTTTGCAACGAGAGTGGATATGATGGCCATATCGCTGGATGCTCAATCGGCTGAGTACAATACGAAAATCCACTCTACTTGTATAATATATTTTTTCTACGACACAATAACTAAAAATTTACATTTAAAAAATAATTTAGAGGTTATCAAGAAAAAATAACTATTTTTTCTACGACCACTTAGGAAAATGAAACATGTTGCATTATTTAATCTTTAGAGAAGTGCTCTATACCACACGCGTGTGGATAAAAATATACTTTCCGTCCGTATATGAATATGAATCTACTATCCGCACACCACTTTTACATTTTTTGATGAAATTATTTTTTAGTCGTAGGAAAAATATTATACTTCACTTTTGTAAAAGTGTTTCCTACTCGTGTGAAAAATGTCACTTTACACACTCAAAAAAATAATTAACACAAGACTTTTAAATTAAGAATTTTACTAATAAATCTAAAAAAGTCTTGGACTCTTATTCAAACATTTTAAAAATAATAGTAGTCATTAAATATGAACCGTTTATATCCGTAGAGTGCCCTTGCTGAAATGAATAAGAAATTATATCTGTTAAATAGACTGATGGGGTACTTATTCGTTCTGTAGTATGTTCATAGAATAGATAATATGCATGTAGGTGTAAAAAATTAAAATTATGGTTGCAGTTATATTTTCAATCTAAGCTTTGTCATTTTAATTCAAGTTCGTAACGACAGAATTAACACCAACTTTCATTCATAGGTAACCACGTTATTTAACAACAACTGATCATATTCGTACAGTAGCTTTGTTCGTAGCAGAAAATCTCAATATGTCACCAGTTTTTATACCTATGAACCAGCTACCTTTCGTTGCTCCGTAATATATTTTTGAATGCAACCAGAATACTCGATTGGATCGATCGACTTCCACATGTGTGTTGTGTTTTGTTTGTGCTCCAATAAAATTTGAAGTTTGTGCAGGTAAAACCTTACCGTTTTAAATGAATTTTATATGGACATGTTCCTTGAACATTCTAGTTTGCGATAAACAATACATTGGTGTTTTACGAAAATATTACATATTTAAATTCCCATTGAGGAAGTGAACAAGTTTTTTTACTTCTTTCTCTACCAAAAAAATCTTGATATAAAAAACATAAACTGATAAATTTTAATAAACTCGAATATTCCAGTGGCGTGCCGGTTACATTGAATAACATGAAACAATCAATTCAAGATGAGTGCTGTTGAATGTATTCAGTGTAAGAAAAAAGGTAGCGTTAAGGACAAAATATCGGTTTTCCCGTGCGATTCTTGTCAAACTTACTACTGCGGAGAGTGTTCAGAACTAACAAGTTCAGAAATAAAATGCATGCCGTTACAAAGACGTACTTTAAAATATTTTTGTACCAAGTGTAGAGAAAATGATTTATCTCATTGTCTCAAAATTACAATACGGGATAAAAAAACAATAATTGATTACGAGGAAACCATAATAAAACTGCTTTAAGAAAAGCTTCAGCAACTGGAAACGAGAAATACGTACGCAAATGTTATCGCAATGAGCTCCGCTACAATAGTAAAACAAGCCCCAAAAAATACTCCAGCTATTATCATCAAACCTTCACGTCCTCAAAATGCCGAGATAAACAAAAAAGAGATTCAGACTAAAATAAACCCCAAAGAAATAAATATATCTATAAACACAATCAAAACAAATAATAATGGATATCTGGTAATTAAATGTAACACAGAAGAAGAGGCAAAAAAATTGGTTGATGAAGCACTGAAACAAATCTCAGCTGATAAATACAGTATTACATTATCGCAAATGAAAAAGCCTAGAATTAAGATCATTACAACAACTATGAATAACTTGAGTTTAGAAGACGTCAAAGAATACTTAATAGAACAAAATACCTTTATTAAACCTGATGATAATTTAAAAGTAACATCTCGAAATGGAAAAAATATATTTGCTGAATGTTCGGGGGACCTGTTCGGAAGATTTATGTCTATAAAGAAAGTCTACATTTCATGGGAAAGGTATACGAAGATACAAAAATTCCTAGATGTAAAAAATGCTACGCATATGATCAAAAAGATATTTACTGTAGAAACAAAATTTCTTGCATATACTGTAATGAGGATCATAATATAAATAACTGTCCAAATAAAGTAAAAAGTGTTGTAATTGTGTACGTTCAAATAAAAAATTTAATTTAAACTGTGACATAAATCATGAAGAATATAACAAAGAATGTTCGACACATAAATTCTACTTGCAAAGATTCACTAACTCTATTGATTATTGTTCCAAATAAATTTATTCTATATTTTATTTTTATGGCTAGTGACAAAAGTAAAGTGTTTTTAAAAATTGCAAATTTGAATATAAGGTCATTAGTATCTAGTTTTATTGATTTTTCTGAATTAATAGAAAATTTTTATGATATTGTATGTGTCACCGAAACATGGTTAAATAATTATGTTGATTCTAATACGGTATTTTTTCAAGGATATAATTTTTAAAGGAAAGATAGACAAAATAAAAGAGGCGGTGGTGTAGGCTGTTGTCAGATCAGACCTTCTCTGTGAGAGCAATACTTTTCATTCGATAAATTCAGTAAATGCAAATAATTTTGATTACCTTCTTTTGAAAGTTAAAATTAAATCTTTTATAGTCGGGGTGGGAATTATATACCGCCCTCCTGATTCAAGTTTCAATGAACTTTTGGATTTTATGGAAAATATTCTCCCTCAATTACTTTCCGAAAATGGCTACTCAATTATAACTGGTGACTTAAATGTAGATATGTTGATGCCAAATTCTCTCCTGAATTTATATAATACATATGGTTTTGTTAATGTTATAAACGAACTAACTAGAATTTCTTCAACTTCTAGCAATTTGCTGGATCCCATATTTATTAATAATCAAGACTAATCAGAGTATTTGCAGGTACGGTTTCATCACATTTAAGTGATCATAATAAAATGCCTCATTGTACATTAAACATTCTAGTTACCAAACCAAAACTAACTTATATTGGCATTCGTAATTTTAAAATTTCTAAAAATACTGATTTCAAAGCAGATTTAGTTTCAATTCCCTGGGACACAATATTCGTTATAGAGAATATAAATAACAATAAGCGTTAACTAATTTCCGATCTGCCAAAATACCGGAAAACTGCAGTTATATGATTATCTAACAGTAGGGTAATTCCGGGTTAGATGGCCTTGCGGGTCAGATGACTCAGTCGTCTATTTCTCATAATGTTTAAGCTTCCCGCTCTTATTTGCAGTGTATAGATACTCGTTGGCAAAGACACATCGTGCGGAGCTTTCTTGTTTGTTTAACTGAGAAATTAGGTAAGTTATGGATAGAAATCAAATTTGTTATATTCAGAAATTATCTGCTTGTTGTTTAACTTATCACGGATTTGTATTTTACAATAAAAAAATCTTGTTTGCTTAATATAATATGTTAATATAGTATTGTGAGGTTAGGTTAACGTTCGTTTGTTGTCATGTTATCTCGTTGTTATTGAGAAAAGTAAGTGGGCCATCTCTACCGGACATTCGGGTTAGATGGCTCTGTATTTTACGGGATAGTTGACCCATCATAAAACGTATTTATTAATCGCTTTTGGTTTTTTTTTGCAGACATGCCGACCGTGATAATGTGATAATTCAAGAGGATCATGGACACAAGAATCACTTTTCGCTGCCGTCGAAGCAGTTCGAAGCGGCCGAATGGGTGTAAATGCTGCCTCAAGAAACTTTGGCGTCCCGGCTCCTACGTTAAGGAGAAGAATAAAGAATAATGATGTGTCTAAGAAAACATTGGGGCCGCCTTCATTGTTGGGAACAGAAAATGAAAATAAACTCAAGGCTTATATCAAAAAGTTGCAGAAGTACGGTTTTGCACCAACACGTGAGAGCGTAAGGTCAATGGCTTTTCATTTGGCTGAGAACTTAGGCATAAACATTAAATTCAACAAAGACAAGGATTTATCCGGGTATGATTGGTTAAATTCGTTTCTAAAACGTAACCAGGACCTCAGAATTCGAAAATCCGAAGGTGTTTCACTGGCTCGGTGCTAAGGCATGAACAAAGTAGAAGTTGAGTTGTACTTCCAGCTTTTAGAGAGAACTTTACGTGAAAATGATCTGATGAACAAACCATCCAATATCTTTAATATGGATGAGACCGGCCTACAGCTGAACAACAAAGCAGGATACGTGATCGCAGCAAAGGGATCTAAGAATGTTGCAGCCGTCACATCATCTGAGAAAGGCGAAACCATGACAGTCATATCTTGTTGTAACGCCGAGGGCTCGTTCTTACCACCTGCATGTATTTTTAAAGGAAAGAACAAGAAGGCGGAGTTTGAGGATGGAATGCCTCCCGGTTCGGTTGTATATATGAATGAAAAATCTGCTTACATCAGCACCAATTTGTTTCTGAACTGGTTGAAGACTCATTTTATGCCTAGAAAACCAAATGGAAAAGTACTTTTGATTTTGGATGGCCATTCAACCCACTGCAACTCTGTGGAATATGCGGATGAATGTGGCATAATTTTATTGTGCCTTCCCAGCCACACTACTCAATTTTTGCAACCTCTGGACAGAGCATTTTTTAAAAGTTTGAAGTCGTATTTTGCTAAAGCTTGTAACTTGTTTATCAAGACTAATCCTACCAGAAAAATCAATAGAATGATATTCGGGAAACTATTATCAGATGCATGGTCGAAAGCAGCCACTGTAGAGAATGGGGTATCATCGCTTAGGGCAACTGGCATCCAACCATTCAACCCTGACGCAATTCCAGATTACGCCTTCCTGAATGAAGATCAAACAGAAGATCAACGAGAACAAATAAATGAACATATTGAACCAGAACCAGAAAATCCCACACCTGGTTGTTTACAAGCCATTAATGAGAAAACTCCTGTTAAAGACACGCCATGCACAATGCTTCAAAAATTCAATCCTATTCCCAGTACGTCCTCAAGCACGTCAGATGTAGTTCAGAAAGCAAAGAAACGTGGAAAACAAATAGCAGCACTTTTGACGTCATCCAAAAATATTGAAAAAAGAAAAAGTCTGGAAAAAAGAAAACTTGAAATAGAAAAATCAAAATCAGCGAGAGCAGTCAAACGTGCTAAAACATTAAGTAGGCATAAACCTAAAAATGTTGTTAATGAATCATCTTCGGAAGAAAATGTTTCTGATTTTGTTTCACAGGAGTCTGATGACAGCCCTGAAGATGATAACAGTGCATAATGCATAGGATGTGGGGAGCAGTACTGTTCTACATCGAAACAGGACGATTGGGTTAAGTGTGTTAACTGTGAAAAGTGATTTCACGATGGTTGTTCAAAATTTGTTAACCTCTGTCATTCTTGCGGAAAAGTTTTAGCTCTGAAAAAGAAATAATTACTTTTCTATTATTGTAATATTAAGCATTTATGACATTTATGAGATGGCCTTTTGCATGAATAGCAATTTTTTTTACCAAAGAATGTATTAATTTTTTGTATTTTACTATGAGATTAGTGTTTTGTATTGTATCCACATTTTCGAATAAATTTTTCTTTTGGAGTGTGCGTTAAATTTATATTATTCTAATATTTTTAAAAAAAGTGCGCCATCTCTTCCCGACTTACCCTAAATACAATTCTTCCTATTGAGCAATCTGGTTTTAGAAAAGCTCATAGCACCAGCACAGCTATGTTAAACCTTACCGATAATGTCATTAGTACTCTTGACAAAAAAACTAGCTGTTATATTAATTACTTTGGACTATTCAAAAGCTTTTGACCTTATAGACCATGAGTTACTCATTGCAAAACTCAAATATTATGGATGCTATGACCTTGTTTCATCTTTTTTTAAGTCGTATCTTTGGAAACGTTCACAGCGTGTACGCACTGACGGAAAACTATCCATTTCTAAAGCTATTATCTCAGGTGTTCCTCAAGGGTCCATTTTGGGTCCCTTACTGTTTCTTGTATACACGTCTGACTTGTCAAAGGTCCAAAAAACAGTCAAATACAACTTTATGCTGATGATACCCAGCTCTTACATTATTTTCCAACTTCAAACACCGCGGACTCAAATATTAATATCAATCAGGACTTAAAATAATTAATCTCTCAATATTCTAAAGAACATAATTTATCTTTAAATCCTACCAAAACGACGGCAGTTCTTTTTTGTAATAAAAATAAATATATTAATACCGAATGTTTATTGAAAATTGAATTAGATGGAGTTAAGCTAAACATATTAACTAAAGCCAAAAATTTAGGCTTGATGGTTGACAAGTCTCTTAGATTTAAAAGCCATATAAAAAAATTTCAATCATAAAATTGCGGTTGCTGTATGTGAACAAACACATTCTCAATTTTAAAATGCGCAAAAAACTCATCGAATCCTTAGTATTATCACGCTTGAATTATTGTTTACTCATTTATTATCCATGTCTAGATCAAGCATCCAGGAGGCAGTTACAAGGTATCCAAAATGGCTGCTGCAGGTTTATTTGCAATTTGAGGAAGTTTGATCACATATCTGCCTATTTCACACAACTTAAGTTGTTAAAACTTGAAAATTTATGTCAGTTGAACTTTACCTTTTTATATAGATTGTTAAAAACGAAAACCCCCATTTTTCTGTTTGAAAAATTGATATTTAGAAATTTAGTTCATGATCGAAATATTATGCATAATGCCTCAGCACAATGCCTCAGCACTATTCTTATATGTTTGAAAGATCTTTTTCATATAATGCTGCTAAATTACGTTATAGGTTTTACCACTTAAATTGGAATGCCTCTCTAAATATTTTTAAGCTAAACATAAAAGAAAACCTACTCAGTGCTCAATAATATTATTGTTTTCCTTTTCTTTGATTATAATATAAAAAAATTTGTTTAAAGAATGCTGTTGTCTTCTGATTGTTTTTTAATGTTTTGAATATGTGTTTATATTTAGACTGTTACCAAAGAAGGTTAAGAGTTAAAGAGCAGCTTGCTAGCTAATCTTCGCCTTCTTTGGGCAAATGTTGTACCTTTGTCAAATAAAGACATAATAAATAAATACACATTATCCATGCTAGAAATTTCTTTGATGGCACTTTGCGTAAAGA